TTTGAGAAGAGAGTTTACGGGCTATAAAATGAAATTGCTATGGTTTTACTAGTTGAAGGGATAATTACATTTTCTTTTTTAGTTTAGTGGCCTGATTGCATTTTCAGACTTCGTTGGCAATTTTGACCCTTATTCCTAGGAAATGTTATTTGCGATAAAATAATAATAATAAAAAATACTTTAATACTCAGATAAAATCATTTATTAGAAATATCCAAAAATTAATTTTGAAGCTAACACATTATATTTTTTCAAGTTTCAAAATCGAATTAATTTCAACGGATGTCCATATATAATTTTACATTTAAATAGTTTCAGACAGGGGTTATCTTTGCTTTTACACAAAGCTCAATTAACAGGGTCAATACACGGATGTCGGGTAGCTAGAGGGCCCCCCAGTATCACACATTTTCTTTGCGGATGATAGTCTGTTATTTTTTAAAGCGAATTTCTAGGATGCCAGTGTGATTAAGTGCTTAATGAGGTATGAGAACCTGTTTGGTCAAATGGTTAATTATCACAAATCTAATATTTGTTTCAGCAGGAATACCACATGGGATGATAGAGAAGTGGTGGCGAATTGTTTAATTAGAAGTGGACCAAGCCTCCAATTTTGGAAAATATCTTGATCTACCATCGTTCATTGGGAGGAATAAAAGGGCAGTTTTTTCCTATGTGGAAGATAAAATCAGACAGAGAATTGGGTGGTGGAACAAAAAACTGTTGTCTCAGGCTGGGAAGGAGGTACTTTTGAAAAGTGTGGCCCAATCTATGCCTACCTTTTCAATGAGTATTTTTTTTGCTACCTGAATCAGTTTGTTTGTCTATTGAGAGGACAATGAACAAATACTGGTGGGGAAAGGGGTGGATAGAGGAATCCATTGGAAGGCTTGGGACAAGTTGTGTGTCCCTAAGAAATATGGGGATTGGGTTTTAAAGATCTTTGTTACTTTAACCTGGCTATGTTGGGGAAACAGGCATGGAGATTTCTTACTAATCCTACCTCTCTTGCAGCTAGGATATATAAAGCTCGTTATTACCCGGCAACCTCTTTTATTGATGCTAAAATGGGAAATTGCCCAAGTTACTGTTGGCGGAGTATAATGGCTGCACATGATATGGTTTGCTCTGGGTTCGAAGAATGATTGGAAATGGGGAAACAACTTTAATCGGGTGAGGTCACCCCTGGCTACATGATAATCCTAGCCCTTTAGTGCAGACAATAATGCCTGAGGAACTGCGTGAAGCTAAGGTAGTGGGTTTGATTGACCAACAAACAAATTCATGGGATCCCCATATGTTAAGTAATTTATTTGAACCAGAGGATGTGACTCGTATATCTAGGATCCCTATTAGCCTGGATTATGAGGACTCTTGGTATTGTCATGGGCCGGTTCTGAGCATGTCTAACATGAGCGACCGCACAGCGCCCCCAATTTTTGGGGGCTCCATATTTTAAAAATAAAACTATAGGTATATATAGTAATAATAGTATTTATTTTATAAAACGAAAATTGAGCCCAAATTGCTTTAAAAACCTAAAAAAAAAAAAGAATCTATATATATAAGGACAATTAGGTTAGACAATAAGGACATTACCAAAACTGCAATTCGGCAATTAAATTTCCTAATCCGAAATCTCAATTAAAAAATTCTCAAATCTCAATTAGGCAATAGCATGTTCAGAGTATAAGGAATTAAAGACATTTCCAATTTTGCAATTTGGCAATTCGAAACCCTATAAACTATGTACTAGTACCCTAATAAATTGGACAATTCACAATTGGCAATTCAGCAGATCGCAGAGCACAGCTCAACTGATTCTTCAATTCTTCTTGATCACGCAAACTTTCAAGTTCTAACTCCCTTAACAGGTAATTAAAATTACGTATTTTTCACAATTTTTGTTTATTGTTTTATTGACATGACTTAATAATTCTGAATTCAGAATAATATATTTAATATTTTGTTTATTGATTATTTATTTATTTATTTATAGAGTTTCTAAATAAATTCTTTTTTTTTCTATAGGATTTTATAATTATGTCTTTTAGAAAATATTCATCTGGGTTTGATAAGCGTAAAAATAAAAGAAGAATTGAGCAACTAACTCAATCTCAAAAGGGAGCTCTTGAAAAATTCATTACAAACCAAACTCAAATAGATGAGCAAAAAGATGATGCCAAGGAAAAATTATTAGATGCTAATCTTCATATAGAAGATCAAGATGATTGTGAGATTGAGAAAAATTTGAATGATAGTGTGCACAATGATGATAGGAATCACAGTGACAATGAAAATAATATGAATGATGATAGTTGTTTAGATGATGTTTGTCGCAAAGATAAACCAAGTGATTCGCTTTTATTTGACATATATGATCCAAGAAATTGAGATGTCCTTGATTCTAAATTAATAGATATTCTTGCGAAAGATGGTCCTAAAAGAGATTTATCAATAAATAAAGGTCCTAAAGATAAATTCAAAAGTTTGGTAGATGATTTTGAGTCTAAATGTGCACGACGCGTGTCACTTTTTAAATAAAAATTTAGATGTATTTTTTATGCAATGTTTATATGTTGATACAACTTTTTGAACAACGTAACAATTATTTATATATAGAAATTACTTATGAAAACATGGCCCAAATTATGATATTGTACAGGGCCCCAATTTTTTTTGGAACGGCCCTGGGTATTGGTACAGGGAACAACGGGGAATGTATTCTGTTAAGAGTGCATATAGGCAGATTGTTGGAGATTTTGAGCATAATCCTGGTGCCTTTGATAAAGGAGAGCTTTATGTGATATTCTCCCTACTACGAATAACCTGATTATAAAGAGAGTTGAAGTAGATCCAACATGCTCTATGTGTGGTTTATCTCATGAAGATGTTATGCACACACTAGTTTCTTGTGATTATTCTAAATTAGTGTGATATATTTCGGAATTGCCTGTTACAAATATTGTTGCTCTTTCATTCCCAGTATGGCTAACGGCTGCTATGGCAAATCTATTAGAGGAGCAATTTGGCATGGCGGTTGCAGTCCTTTATCACCTATGGAGCGCCCGAAACGACGCCATATGGAAATGGGCTTTGGCACGACCGACCGGTGTGTGGAGGCGGTCCACTGCCGCGATGGCAGCGTACGCCCAGGCGCACTACCGAGGCCAGAGCCGCAGCGTGCCTACGGTGGCGCCAATGCCACAAGGCCGACCACGTTGCTATTTCGATGGGGGATACCGCCTGCACTCGGGCGATGCAACATACGGTGTAGTGCTTTTGCATCAGGATGGCTCGTTCAAAGCGGCAACAAATGGCAAGCTTCCGGGTTGTTTCTCACCCCTTATGGCAGAGGCACTTGCATGCAAGGAGGCTTTATCTTGGCTCAAGGAGCGTAATGAATTGCACGTGGATCTCTTGGCTGATTGCTCAGAACTCCGAACCACTTACTTTCCAGTCCTACGACCATCCTATCTTATGTAGGGGTGGTGGAGATGCCGGACAGCTATAGCCCTTTTTTCATATTGCTCATTGAATGTTATTTCTAGATTAGTTAATTTACATGCTCATACTTTAGCTACGATAGCTTTTGATCAGGACCACTCTATGTACTGGGACTATGTCCCTCCTAACTTTTTAGCTTCTCTCATTCATTAATATATGCCAATGCCTTTTGGCTTTCAAAAAAAATAGTTTCAAATTATCATTTTTGTCTTTAAATATCTTAGACTATTAAATTGTGGACACTTTTGATCATTTTAGTACTTTGTTTAGAGAAATTCCGTTTTAAGTAATGGTAATAGGTTTCATCGCATGTTTGTAATCCTTTATTGATTTGTTTTTCTTTTTTGGTACTTTATCTAGGGGAACAAGCGCTAAGATTTAAAAGCCGGTTAATGTCCCATCAAAACAAGCCCAGTTCATATGAGGAGTCAGTCTACTGCGAACTATGATGGCCGGACTACAAGCGAATGACTGAGTCTCATCTATAAATAATGTATTTTTACTATATCAAAAATACACATTAAGTATACTAATGGATGGAATATTTATACATTGTGTTTAGTTTTTTTGTACTTAATTTCTATTGTTTTTTTTTTGGGGTTCAATTTTACTATTTCTTTAATGACGCATTAATTGGATTAGTTTCATAACAAAATCGAATAAATACAATCAAATTTATAAATAACTATTGAATTCATGCATCAACAAAATATTTTCCATTACAATTATATGAAAATGACATCACATAAAGCATAGCCGAAATCTCTTCCTTCGAAAATTGTCATTTTGTATTTATAGTAATTAAGTAGAATCTTTGTATTTATAGTAAGTAGAATCTTCTTCTCCTCTTCTCCCAATATAGTAAGTAGAATCTGGACCTGGGGGATGAAGCAGTCAAGCAGCCATTTTTGGGTCCCAACTCCAATTTAGTTATACATCACTACCATTTTTAAATATAAAAAACTTCAATCTTGTAGTATCTACGAGGTCTCTGTATTATAGAATTTTGTTCAATTTAATCCTTACACCTTTATTTTGTTCAATTTAATCTTCAAAAGTGGTGCAATTAAAGACAATAGATAATGTTGTTAATATTACCGTTAACTAAAGTTACGTGACGCGATATTTATATTCCTCCTCATATATTACTTTATAAATATTTAAAATTAATTATTTTTACCACCAATATATTAAATTAGTATGTCCAAAATAAATAATTAGTTCCTAATAAGATTTGGATAATTATTCTTAGTTTCACAGTTTTTAAAGTAGAGAACTAGATTGAACAGAATAAATGTGCAATGACTAAATTAAACAAAACACGATAATACATAGGTACATTGACCTATAAACAACACATGATGAATTTTAATATAAATAATTATTAGATCATAACTTAATTGGACACCACATTGATTGACTATATATGCATTATTTATTATGACAACAGATCACAATCTACCTATAATAATAATAATAATAATAATAATAACCCTATATTTATTCAAATATTTTGGATCGTCTCGAAAAAATGTCGATATGATCCACAATATATATGTTCTACCTAACTATTTATACTATACTATACTATACTATATATATATAGCCCGGCCTTATGCATCTGCAACAAGTGGTTTAGTTGTTAGTCCAAACCCAAAGGGAAACAACGGATCATAGTGGGAATCTCCGATGTTCATAGGGAGTTGGTCGACGGTCTTGAACCAAGTCCGAGGTAACTTTCCGGTGAATTCATAATCCCCAAACAAAACATCAGCCACGCCTTGTCCTTCACTTCCGGGGAGCCATGCAGCCACTAGAGCGTCCATTTTGGGGAGATAGGGTTCCAACACTAGCGGCCGGCCGGAGATGAGCACCACCACGCACTTGATGTGTTCACAGACGGTGGCGATGGTGGCTGGGCCGGGGTCGGGGATGGTTAAGTTCATGTTGTCGCCGTCGTACTCGGCGTAGGGATGCTCTCCCACGACGACGATGGCATAGGCGAAATCATTGGAGTTTGTAATGAAGTCGGAGTCAGGGTTTTCGTTGTACACTACTTCTGTGGTTGGATCAACTGTGTCTGATATAGCTTTCAATATGGTCGTTCCTACAATTAACACCGATAACATAGTATTAGATACAATCATGTATAATATATTTAGTTATACTGAATACTATTGATATCCATGTTGATAGTACTTGATACCATACACGATTATATGTGGTACTATCAATATAAGTTTTTGGGTTAGTATTTTCTTTTTTATGGATTATGAAAAGGAATTTGTACCGGTAGTGATGTTGCCACTTTGGCCTTGCCAAGTGATAGTCCATCCACCACATTGATAGCCCAAATTGTCAGCATGACTTCCTGCAACTAAGATTCTTGTTGCCTTTTTAGGGAGAGGAAGCAAAGCCTCATCATCATCATCACCATTCTTCAATAGAACAATTGATTTCCTCACTGCTTCTCTTGCCAAATCTCTGTGAGCCTAATCACCACATATCAACAAGTAAATACAATTGCAAACAAATAACCAACTAATTGGTTGGGTGGCCGTGTACTCTCATCTCTTAAGACAGATTATAAGTTCTAAAACGGTCCGGTGCCAATTAGGATTAGTTTCAGGTATAGATTCAAACCTGGCTTCCAAGATGATCAGCCAGGCTAAGATCAGCGAGTGGGTCCTCGAAGAGACCCAAGATGAATTTAACTCTCAAGATCCGCGTAACGGCGTCGTCGATCCGGCTCATGGGGATAAACTTGTTCTTGACCAAGTAAGTTAAAGTGTCTATGAACTCTGTGTAGTTATAAGCAACCATGATCATGTCAATCCCAGCTCCAACACCAGCTAAAACTGAGTACGTGTAGTTTGAATGATCCGGAGTAGTGATCCTATCTATCCCTTCCCAATCCGAGATCACAAAACCCTGAGAAAAAAAAAAAAAAAAAGAATCAAATCAAACATCGTTAGAATCTTAATTATTCAAGAATCTTTTAGTACGACATAAATGTACCTTAAAGTCAAGAGTTCCTTTGAGAAAGTCGGTGACGAGAGCGCGGTTGGCGTGCATTTTCTTGCCGTTCCAGCTGGAATAGGAGACCATGACGGTGGAAACGCCCTTGAGGATGGAGGGATAATACGCCGGCATGTGAATACTCAGCAATCCATCCCAGTCGATAACTGTGTTGCTTTCGTCTATTCCGTACGTTGTACCTCCATCCCCCACGAAATGCTTTGCACAAGCAACTACCTTCTTCCTACAATCAAAGAAACCCACGATCATTATTCGAGGGTAAGTGTGTATTAACAAAATAACAGAACCTCGCAAATCGTACTAGAAAGACCTTGACAAGAATGGAAAACAACTTATTATTATTTATTTAAAGAAGAATTTTACAGAAAATCATATTATGGATCATGGTCCACATTGCAATGCAGACTATAGGCATAAATGTTCGTTTTTAATACGGAGTGTAATAAATTAAAGGTTTTTTTTTTTTGTAATGAAAGTTCATTGTTTGGTAGGTATGTATACGAACCTTCAGTACACAATTAGAAACATTCAATGATTAAAAATGAATTTTATATTGATAATTTATCTCACAAGGTGGACCATAGTCCATGATATAATGATTGGAATTTTACAATACTAGTGCTATTTGCTTTGTAAAATTGTACATTGTGCTATCAGCTAACAACTAATTTACCAAATATTTTTTTACAATTAACTAATGTTATCAATTAGCCAAACTCAAAAATCCAATCAGCTAGCAGCTATTTACCATATACTGTCATTATATTTTTTATTTATTCGTAGAAATTAATTTATAAAAGGGAAATAGGGAATAAAAAGAAAGTAGAGAACATACTTGCCACCAACATAAGGAAAGCCCTTGGGATAATCCTGGGGAACATCTCCTTGCAAGCCAAGTATGACTTCTGTCATTTCTTTCACTACTTCAGGATCTTCACTATAGCTTTCATAACACCGTCCCCACCTTGGATCTCTGCATACCTTTTATTTTTTAAAAAAAAAAAAATAATAAAATTAATTTTAAAGATTTTCATTAAAGTTGACATTGAAATTAAATTGAAGTTTCACCAAAAGCTTGCATTTCATAGGATATACGTTAAATCAAATATTATCCCTTCTCCTCCACTTGAGAAAATGTACAAAAGTAGCACTATTTTCAAACATTACTCAAATTGGATGGAAACATAAATGATCTGCATTTACTGAATAAAGAATTTAAAAAAAAAATTATGTGATGATGTATAATTTATTATTTTAAAATATGATTTTAGAAAAGTACTACTCCGTATACTTTTTATTGAAGGAATAAATGAGATAATTTCACACCAGACCAACCAAAAATGTATAGAACTTATTATATGGAGGAAAAAAAAATACAAAACTCATTTACTTGTACATTTCTATAATTTATAAAATAGAAAATGAAAATGAAAAATTAGAGAAAGAACAATTAAAGTAACCACAACCTTTAAGAGAGGAACCAATTAATATGATTTAACTTATATTGTGAAGAAATATATGTTGAAAATAGTGATTGTGAAAATACCGCAATACATGGAGCAAAAGCATAAGTTATGCCAGTAGCCCTAGTCTCAAGGGCTGTTGCAGCACCAATTCTCTTCACTAGTTGAGGATCCCTGCAAAATTAAATAAATTGATGTTTTGATGGAGAAATTGGTAAGATTAGTATAAAATTATATCAAGTTTAGTACTGTAATGTTTTGAGGAAGGGGTATATATTAAGATGATATATAGACAATGACACCTTGTCACCTGTATCAAATCACATGAAGTATTGTAACGTTTTGAAGAAGAAATATATAAAATTATAGACAATGATAGTGGTGTGAAATCACATCAATTATTATAATGTTGTACTATTGTTTAACACCTATTTAATGAAGTAGTTTTACTTAATTGTGATATTATTTAATGAAATTATTTAAATAGAGTGATGATATATCAACAATTGATTCTTTTCATATTTAATCAAAAATTAAGATGAAAATAATAGTTTACTCTGTTTATTTATTTATATTTATAATATAAGCATGGCAACTTTAAGATAAATTTGTCCAAAACCTATCCAAATAAAGGAGACCGTGGGTCCCTTCAAAAAAAAAAAAAAAAAAGGAGACCATGGGTCCCTTCAAAAAAAAAAATAAAATAAAATAAAAGGAGACCATGGGTTGCGTGTATATGATTTTAATACAAGTCTTAGTTTTGCTTTATTATTGGATATCTGACTTTATTGCTTAACCATAAAGGTACTTAGATGTATATGTAACAGTTTTAACTGTTACTAGCAATTTTTTAGCTCACATATATAGCTATACAAGGTCAACAACCTTGAGTCATTGAGTGTACGCATTAATATATAAACTTGTTTTTTTTTTTCGAAAACATATAACCTTGTTTTAATAATAAGAAAAATGTTATTCTGTGTAATGTGTCTTGTATTTTGTAAAGTTGTACATTTTGTTTTATTAAATTGTATTGACAAGATAAATTCGTATGCACTATTTGAAGGTGTGTACTAGCTAGGTAAACCATGCAGTAGGTAAACCAGCTTAATTAGGTTGCTCATAGTTGAACAGACTCAAACCAAGAAAATTAATAAGTCACTCGGTCAGCCTCAACAATTTTGAGGATCTAATATCAATTTTAGAACGGTACTTTTGGTAGGGTTCATTTATTTACAAAAACAGGACCACCAAAATCCCCGATCCTACCCGTGCCACAATAATCCAAATAGGATCCTACCCGTTAGAAGTCAAAAACTTGTAACTGGTTACCAAGTCAAACAATCTAACCGACTTGGATGGGATTTGCCGATACAACTTTATAAAGTGCATGGTATTATTGGACCTAGTGTAATTTATTTTGGTTAATTAATAATAATAATTATAGGTAAGAGAAAAATTGAGAAGGTAAAGATGGAAAAGAGCTTGCCTTGTTGCACCCAATCCAATATTGTGGGGAAAAATAGTAGCCTTGTAGACATTATTGTTCCCATGAACAGCATCAATCCCATATATCATCGGAATCCCGAGCCGGCTCGACAGCGAACCGTTTTGGAACCAGTTCACCATCTCCACCCATTCCGCCGCCGTGGCTTCCTCCCTCGGCACGCTTCCGCCCCCGCTCAACACACTGCCAATGGAGTAATCCCTCATGATCTCCGGCGTCAGGCCCTTGCGATCCAGCTGTGCCATTTGCCCGATCTTCTCCTCCAAACTCATCCGCCCAATCAAGTCTCGAATCCTCGACGAAATCGGCTTCGTCGGATCCTTGTATTTCACGTATCCCACCGGCCGACGCGCCATGGCCGCCGGGGCACATGAACACAGTAGCAGTAACAGAAGCCCCAACAATGGCAGCGGCAGAGCTCTTTGAACATTTTTCATGGCTGCGATCTTATCAGAAAACTTATTAGCTTTAATCTAGTCTAGACAAAAGTGTTGTGGAGGGAAGAAGAAGGCATGGTCGACGCATATAAATAATCACAGAATCTGAGTGGTAACAGATCACTAGGACGTGTTTGGTCATAAAGATAATTTTGTTGACTTTTACTTTTTATCTATAAATAAAAATCTATTGTTTAAATATACACGTATTATCCAATAGTAGAATTGCCAAACCTACTTTTGTGTGTTCTAGTAAATTACTAGTTAATTATTTATTAGTCATTACTCATTACAATGTGATGTGGACAAGTGGTATTGTACATGTTAATAATTATTATTTGTTTCTTATACTACTACCTCATAATCTATCTATATCTATTTATCTACATTTATCCACGCTTGTTGTCCAAAACAATCTTATAAAATATATTGTTAATACAATTCATAATAGAATATATTGTTTTCTACTTTTCTATTCCTACTACGATTCTACATTCAATTTCGTATTCTAATCTATATATACTATATATTCTATTCTATACTATATATAAAAACAAAACAAAATATATTGTTAATACCATTCCTAATAGAATATATTGGTTTTAACTTTTCTATTCGTACTACAGTTTTACATTCAATTGTGTATTCTAATATTGTAAAAATAGTATAATATAATTCTAATAGAATATATTGATTCCTACCATCCTATTCGTATTATAGAATATATTGATTCCTACCATCCTATTTGTATTATAATTCTACATCACAATTCATATTCGTAATAGAACAATACAAATAAATCTGGCACTATAAATACTAGAAAGAGTTAATTAATTCCATTTTTTGTCCTAGATTTATAGGTGACAGTCCACTTTTAGGTCATGTTTGGTAAAAAATTGGCCTATAGGCCAATTTTGGCTTATTTGACCACTATTAATTGTTTGATTTAGTTAAAATATCAATATAAATGTTTGGTTAATTAGCTTTTTGCAACTCCAAGCAACTTTTTCAATTAGCTTTTTGAGAAAAGAAATTATACCAAACAACTATCAGCTAACAGCTAATTTATACCCTCTAATTAACACAATCAGCTAACACCTAACAGCTATCAGCTAACAGCCATTTTACCAAATAGGGCCTTAGTCCTCTTTTTTTATTATTATCAAAACATCCCCTTTTGGTCATAGTATTATTGTGACATGACCAATTCTGGTCATCTATCAATAAAATCGTTGAAATCACGTTAAATTGAATTGACATTTTGATATTTTTAATACAAAGTGTGTTGACCCGTTATATTTTTTATGTTTATTTTTTTTTGAAAAAATCATAATTGAAGAGCGAAATGCCCCCGTATTTAACAAAATTTCAACAATTTTTTTTATAAAGGATAAAAATTAGTCATGTCACAATAAGACTAGGACCAAAAAGGGATGTTCTGATAAAAAATGATTAAAAGTGGATTGACACCAATAAATCTATGACCAAAAATGAAAGTAACTCATACTAAAAATCTTATAATCTGCCCACACAATTCGACACCTCCATATAATATTTTCGAATCTGCAAATTATAAACAAAAAAATTTTCATTCGATTCTTCAAATTTAGTAAATACTAATGGGATTTGTTATAATTTATACAATTGTATATCAATCTAAATATTTTTAAAATATTATAACAAATTCATTCCGTGCAACGCATGTGTGGAAATACTACTACTACTACTACTACTACTGCTACTGCTACTGCTACTGCTACTGCTACTGCTACTGCTACTGCTACTGCTACTGCTACTGCTACCAGTCCTTTAGGTGTTTTGCTCAGTGTTCATTTAGTTCAACCATTATTGTTGAATAAATTATTATGGATAAAGAAATTCCTAATTTAAGGAATTTAGATGTAGTAAAAATTTAAAATTTTTTAATTATAATGTAACCCAAAGATATTGGACGATTGGTAAATATGATGTAATCCAAAGATCAAAATGCTAAAGAAAGTGTTTTGGTTATTCAACCGTTTGAAGCAACAATTTGTTCCAAACCACTGAAAATACAAACATTGTAATTTACAATATTTTCACTTAACGTTTTTGAGAATGATTTCTCAAAACACATCTATATTTTTAAAAAAATTATTATTAAAACAATTATTATTATTATTATTATTATTATTATTATTATTATTATTATTATTATTATTATGATTATTATTATTATTATTATTATTATTATTATTATTATTATTATTATTATTATTATTATTATTATTATTATTATTATTATTATTATTATTATTATTATTATTATTATTATTATTATTATTATTATTATTATTATTATTATTATACCCTTAAGTCATTTTAAATGTTAATTTAAACAACTAATTTTTTCAAATATCTTTTTACCAACCGTTGATATAATTAGCTGGTCAAATCCGCTAACGCTAACCGCTAACTACTGATTGTCAAATAATGACATTGCGAGGTACTTTCTTACTTCTATTTGTTGTGTGATTTGAATACTCTCTTTGTCAACAAATCCCTCAAGTAGTTAATATAATTGACATTATTAATTTAAAATTTTTAAATTTTTTCATGGTATTAATAAAATGCTTGGTAATAAATATATAACTTTATTTTGTTTTATAACTTTGATATTTAATTAAAAATAGTGCACAAAAAAGATAATAGACAATGTAGTGAATATAATCAATTGATGAATTTGAATGTAAAGAATTTTTACATTGGAGAAAAATAAAGACAATATAACTAATGAAATTATTTTTCTTAATTAATTTATTGATAATGAATAATTTATTTTTTAATAAAGACAATGTAGTGAATATTATTATTATTATTATTATTATTATTATTATTATTATTATTATTATTATTATTATTCTCTCTATTTTTTTTCCCAATAGCAAGTGTAAACGTATAAGCATGTAATTATTTATTAAGTATAATTTATTTAGTTAAAATCAATGCACAACCAAATTCAAAGACCATTATGAATGACTACAAATGAGTATGAGTGAGTGATGAAATTAAATCGAAATGATTATAACAATGACAATAAAAATTATAGAAGTAGCAATTTGGACAATAAATAACTCTCAACAAAATTCACAAATGTCTTGCGTTGCAAGACTCGCATAGTACTAGTTGTGATACATGCATTGCACAACCTAACCACATTGAAAACCGTATGCGTCATATTGTGTTTATCACACGTTATAAATATCACAAATTTTTATACAAATTAAATAAAAATTAATCATAATTGCAAATTAATCGATTTCATTTTTTTTTTTTGGAGTTCAATTAATCAATTTAATGTCAAATAGCATTAGCAAATGAAATATTATAACCCTGTTGTAATGTTGTGTCCGTTGGCTTGTTAGCTCCTAACCGATAAGTTTGCAGGATGGATAGTATCAAAATATTTTTTTTTTTTGAAAATTGATAGTATCAAAATATAGTTAACAAGGAAAATGAATTGCAGAGAATAATATGCAAGAATGACAAAAAGGAGAGATAGAGTAATCTTTTCATTACCATTGTCTATATATATATATATATATATATATATATATATATATATATATATATATTACATAGAATAGTGGTTACTAAATGTTGGAAAAAATAGCTTAAAAGTGGCATAAAAAGGCATGTTAAGTGGCTATTTTGTGGTACAATTATCAGTGGCAAATCAAATTCCAACTAGCAGAGATTGAAAAAGGCTTGATACAAGCCTGAGCTCGTGTGCGCCGCTGGCCTTGCGGGCAAAGTTATGCCAAACTCCGGAAAAATTTACATTCGGCCATGGTGACTGATGGTCGAAACTGGAAGTTTCGGCCTACACGAACCTGTACTGCTTTCTGTGACTGTTGGGTTCAATTCTTACTGTTACGGAATTAATTCCAATCTTTATTTTTGAATTGAAACCCATGGTAAATGTTGCTGTTACAAGGTGTAGTGGGGGGTGCCTTAAAGTGCCTCATTAAAAGCTTTTGGCTCCTTCACCCCTATATAAGAGAGGTAGTGAGAAGCAAATTTTTAGACACTACAAGCACTACCACTGTACACGAAACATTGTTTTCCAGCCTCAAAATTCTGCTGCTACTCACTTTCTTTGCCTGTTGTGTTCATAACCACGTCTTGCTCGCCGGATTCTTTGTTTGAATGCTCAAACACTGAATCATAGCAAATTTTATCCTGGGAAGCCTAGGCCACAACGCTCCTAGCATCTTTGGGAGGTGGCAAATAAGGTTTTAAGCAAAGAGTGCACACTTGACTCTTACAAAAACCCAACACCAAACACTAGCCAAATTTCTTCATCTTTTCTTCTCTTCTTTCCAGAAAATAATAATCTTATTTTTGATTATTATTTGTTTTCCTACCAACGGTTCCTACACTAAACATCTCCATAAGTTCTTATAAATATCTACTATACTAATAAGAGCCCAAGAGAGTTAGACCTATAATGGGTAGAAAAAATGACGGTCAAGTTTTTTAATCAAATGAATGGTTCAGATTGATCAGATTTTAATTTTTCCTTGAGATTTCCTAATTTATCCTTAATGAATAATCATATCCGTTAAATATTATCTTTTCTGTTAGTTTCCGTTAGTTCACCGTTAACTTACTCATTGATTTTAATAAGAAAGGTCTCAGGTTCGAACCTCATCCCAATCAAATTAAAGTTGGCATAATTAGTACTCTATTTTACTCTTATTAAATTATTATATAATTAATAATTTAGTAGCTACAACAAAAAATAATACATATGCATTTCTTTAATTTAGAATTATGTGTGTACTATGTCTTTATTCAAAAAAATAATTATTCATTATCAATAAATTAAATAAGAGAATGCATTCAAAAAAAATTAAATAAGAGAAATAATTTCATTAGTTATATTGTCTTTATTTTTTCCAATGTAAAAATTCTTTACATTCAAATTAATCAATTAATTATATTCACTACATTGTCTATTATCTTTTTTGTGCACTATTTTTTAATTAAATA